TTCAAGAAAACTAAATGAAAATGCAGTGTTAAGACAATCAGATTTTCAATTTAATAAACACAAAATATCAAGGTCTTCAAGCAAAATGGTTTAGTGGTGTATATGTAAACCTGAAATGGGTTGTCAGACCGTTCGAATTCTAACCGTTAGAGCCATTAGCACTGTTGTTATATTTCAGTAATCTATATTTTATTTGCAGTTTTATATTAATGTAAGTTTCATATCATATTTCAGAGCATACTTGTACTGTTATAAACAAGAAGTATTCAAACAAATATCGACTTTCTTCAAAGTAAGCGTTTTATTGTGATATATTTCTATAGGTTTACCTGTTTTTGAGCTAGTTTCTGATTTACCAGCCTCCTCTGTTCCTTGTTTCATTGTCAAAGGATTGTTCCAAGGCTGGAGTTCTCCTGACCCCATGAAGATGAATAGCAAGTTTGTGACAAGGAAGACACCAAATACAATCCAGAATACCTCTCTCCATTGCAAAATTGTACTCTGTTCAAAGAAATATAGACTTTGCTTTGAAAATGCACGCATCTATGACCACAAGCATGCATACATGTATATACACAAGCAAAGAGGCATAATTAATGAATTAAAGGAACCTGATTAGATTTGGACATGAAAGGCACAGTACCTTCTCTGCAGTACATTGTTATTTCTAATCATATTTCTCTGTTTATAACTGTTGTTTTTGGCTTTGCCCATTGCTTGAGTTTATTATCCTTAACACCAGATCAACTCAAAATTTGTCTGGGATTGCCACCAAACCCTCACGGAACTGGCCAAACATAACAGGGTACAACTGATATGGGTGCCGGGACATGAGGGCATTGCTGGAAACGAAACAGCAGACCAATTAGCTAAGACTGGAGCTGAACATCTGTTCATAGGACCTGAACCAGGCTGTGACATCTCTGTAGGAGTTGCCAGAAAGGCAATCAGGGACTGGACAAACATGAAGCACAAGAAATACTGGGGATCCTTGACTGGTCTCAGGCAAGCAAAGGGACTCATATGAGGACTCTCTGCTAAAAGAGCGAAGAAACTGTTGAAGTTCAGCAGGACCCAGCTACGATGGGTGGTGGGACTACTTACAGGACACTGTCACCTTAAAGGACACTTGTGAGAGGTGTCAAGAAGAAAATGAAACAGCCACACACGTCCTGTGTGAATGTGAGGCCTTAGCTTATTTAAGATTACGTCACTTGGGCCAATACTTTATGGAACCAAGTGACTATTTCGA